TGTTCTTCATTCTGTTGGCTAATTAGGGAATAACTGAGTGAAAGAACTAGGCTCCTATCAACGCACGGTGTTGGCAAAGCAATGAATGAAGTTAGACCCTTACCTTATACGATATATAAAAATTGCCTCAAAATGGATCAAAGACCTAACCATAAGAAAACTATAAAACTCTTAGAAGAAAACATAGGGGAAAAAGCTTTATATGTTAGATTTAGCAATGATTTGTTGGATGTGACACCAAAAACACAGACAACAAAAGAAAAAAATAGGTAAAATGGACTACATAAAAATTAACTTCTGTGCATCAAAGGACACAATCAACAGAGTGAAAAGGCAACCTACAGAATGGGAGACAATATTTGCAAATCAGATACCTGATAAAGGATTAATATTCAGAATATATCAGAACTTCTATAACAAAAAACCAAACTCCTCTATTAAAAAATGGGCAAAGAACTTGGATAGACATTTCTCCAAAGATATACAAAGAGCCAACAAACACATGAAAAGATGCTCAACATCGCTATTAGGGAAATGCAGACCTAAACCACAATGAGATACCACTTCACACCCACTAGGATGGTACTATCAAAAAAATAGAAAATAGCAAGTGTTGGCCAGGATGTGGAGAAAACTGGAACCCTTGCACACTGTTGGTGGGAATGTAAAATGGTACAGATGCTATGGAAAACAGTATGGTAGTTCTTCAAAAAATTAAAAATAGGATTACTATGTAATCTAGCAATTCCATTTCTGGGTATGTATCCCCAAAACTAAAGGGACAATCTTGAAGAGACATTTGTACACCCATATTTATAGCAGCATTATTCACAACAGTCAAAGGGTGGAAGCAACTCAAGTATCCATTGATAGATGAATGGATAGGCAAAATATGATGTATACATTATTATTCATCATGAAAAAGGAAAGAAATTCTGACACATGCTGCAACATGGATGAACCTTGAGGACATTATGCTAAGTGAAACTAGCCAGTCACAAAAAGACAAATAGTGTACGATTCCACTTATATGAGGTACCTAGAGCGCTCAAATTCATAGAGATAAAAAGTGGAATGATATTTGCCAGGGACTGGGTGAAGGGGGAAATGGAGAGTTGTTTAATAGATATAAAGTTTTAGTTTTGCAAGATGAAAAGTTCTGGAGATTGGTTGTACAACAATGTGAATATACTTAACACTACTGTATACTTAAAACTGATTAAGATGATAAATTTATCTCA